GGCGGGTCCAGTTTTCCCACCCGCGCGCCGGCCGCGGACCCGGGGGCTTCCGGGCGCTAGGGGGAGTGGGGTGACGGCGCGGCCATTGAGGCTGCCTTCCAGGGCGGGCGGAGCGCCTCCGCCACTCGCCACTCACCCGGTCCCCGGGCGCAGGCTTCTGGAGAATCATCCCCTCTCACGTCCCCGGGCCTCGGGAGACCCACACTCGGGGGGCGGGGGGGCGCGGCAAGACCCTCGCGGGGAGCCGGGACACTGGCGGGGCGGCCGGAGCCTTTCTGAGCTCACCCACCCCTGTCCCCAGCCCGGGAGGAGCCCGCAGAGCCCCCAGCCCGTCGGGGGTCCGGCCGCCCGTGGGCGGCCCCGGGACCGGCGGTCACTCACCGGGGCGCAGGGCGCTCAGAAGCAGGAGCGCGGCGACCAGGCACGCGGCCGCGAGCGCGCGCCGCCTCCAGCAGCGCCTCCCCATGCTTGCCCGGTGCGCAGCAGTCCGCGGGGTCTGTCAGGGCAGCAGGGCGGGCCCAGACTGGGAGCAGGACCCGGGGCCCGCCTCCGGGCCCGCCCCCGAGCCCAGGCCCGCCCACGGGCTAGTCTCCGACCTGGACCCGACCCGGGACCGCCCCTACACCCGCCTTCGCGCGGCTCGGGGGTGGCGGGGGCGAGGCGGCCGACTGTTGAGTCGGCAGGTGGGCGAGGGCCGGTCGGCGGGCCTCGCTCGTCCAGTCTGCCAGCCTCCCCCGACCCGATCCAGCGGGGCGGCCAGCCTGGCGGCGGTCCAGGGCGCTAAGGATGGAGGCTGGGTGGAGGGCGCGGCTCTGCCCCCTTTCGCTCGCGCAGGGGCGCCGTCCTCTACCGGAGACCGAGAAGCCTTGTCACGGTGGCGGGTGGGCGGGTCCGGGGAGCACTATGCCCCCTTGTCTCTCGGCTGCCTTACCTGCAGGGGTCCAGGGGCTGGCTTAGGGCAGCGGCCGCCTGTGCATGACTCCCCCGGACCCTCCCGCCCTCAGAATCAGGCCCAAAGGCACCCATTCCTTCCCCCAGGCCCATCCTGTAGCCTTGTTTTCCACGGGGGTCTCCAGGTCCTGCCTGGATCCCAGCTACTGCAGGTCCCGGCCAGACGCCAGAAGGTGATGGGGGGTCTCAGTTCATGCTCCCCAGAGCACCCAAGGGGACAGCTGGTGGTGTGCACGTGTGTGTGCGCGCGTGCTTGACCCAATACCGAATACGTCGGAAAGTGTGCGTTTTTTAACTGCAGTTGAAGAATCTGGTGATTTCAGCCCTTCTGGTGCCACCTACCCACTGTGAGATCAGGAAGGTTGCCCAACCTCTGTGCCCCAGTTCTCTGTGTAAGGGGAGGGACACACCTCATCGCGCTGTGGGAACTAAATGAGACACGGAAGATGTTTGGAACAGCGTCTGGTGCTGAGTGAGTGCCATCTGAGAACTTGACGTTGGTGATTATTTTTTACAGTTACTGCCTGTTCTGGCAAGTGACTCTGCTTTCTGTTAAGGCAGTTATACAAAAATTCCTTCCCATTACATTTATTTAAGTTTCAAAGATCTATTTAAAGAAGAATTTTAAGTAAATAAAATTAAAGCTATGGCTCCAAATGCTGATGCTGGGGGAGGGGAGACAGCTCACAGGTAAACCAGAGCTCCGTGTATGGCTTTGCGGGCAACCTGTACAGACAGCCTTGGGGAGTGTCCATTTCACTCCCAGAACGGCCTACAGGTAGGGTCGCTGCTGCTCTGGGCCCAGAACTGGGATTCCTGGTTATCCAGACCTTAGGTGGCCCCAAATCGTCCCCACACCTGCCTTAGGACCGACCTCTCTGTAAGAGTCCCAGCCCTGGTGGTCCCTGTGCTGCCACCTGGTGGCCAAAGTTGAGGACAACATCTCAGCCCGTCTGGTCCAGGAAAGTCCTTGGAGGCCGCCCGGAGGCTCTGGGGCCGCCAAGTGGATTGTCAGAGGCAGACAAGGTGTCCCCATCCCTGTGTGTCGTGGGCTGGGGTGTGGGCGGTTCTAAGTCTACAGCTGTGTTGCTGATGGACCTCGAGTGGTGGCCAGGAGTCGGGGACTCGGCGGGACGGGGCGGAGGCTGGTGCTGCCTGTGGGAGACGTGAAGGGTGTGGACCAGGGTGCGAGTTCTCTGGGTCCAGGCTCCCTTTTGAAGGTAGGGGTCAGGGGTCAGGGTGGCTCAGGGAAGGCACCCAGGGGCAGGGTGGTTGGAGGGGAAGGAGGGAAGCTGGGGCTAGGTTGATGGCCCAAGGGGCAGAAGTCCTGCCTGGCCCAGGAAGGCCACATGGGCCCGCCAGTGATGTGGCAGAGATGGGGGTCCAGTGTGGCCTGGGTTGGGGGTGCCCAGGGGTGGGGCTGGGCTATGCGGTGCTGGCTGCCAGGACAGGAGTGGAGTACCCCTGGAGTGACTGGTGGGGAGACAGGCAGGCTCTCAATGGTTCCAGTGGGACAGGCCCCGTCCAGCACCGGAGCCTGAGGGCTGAGGCCCGGGGAGGCACAAACTGAGGGCCTGCCTGCCCCTTTTTTACTCCTTATTAGTTTAAAAGTTTTATTTATTGCGTTTGTCCATGGAGCAAAATTCAAAACCACCGGAGTTCTTTTGAACTAAGGCGAAACTCACGTAACATAAAATTACTCATTGGGAAGGGTGTGGTTTCAACGGCATTTAGTGCTCTGAAGGTGTGGGTTCACAGTGAGGGGTCTCCGTCCCCCCAGCACCCCCAGGTCCCTGTGTGTCCTTCAGATAGTCCGTGCCCAAGTGTACACATTTCTTTGCTTTCTGGACTACGTACGTTGCTACGTTCCTTGCTTTTTGGATAGAGGCAACAATCAGAGAAGTAACGTCTTATCTGGTGCTGATTCTGTGCAGGTGCTGTTCTGAGACCTTTGCTTTGCTTGTGTTATCTTGTTTAATCCTCAGACGCAGCCCATGAGGTAGCTACTGTTACTGCTTTCATTTTTCAGACTAGGACATGGAGGCACAGAGAGGCTAAGGAACTTACCCAAGGACACACAGCTCATGAGTAGTATAGCCAGGCTTGAACCTACCCATCTGCCGTATTTCACATCTGTGAGATCCCAGGTCTTTAAACAGCTCGTACAATGTTTAAAAATTAGACTATTTGGGGGGAGGGTATAGCTCAGTGGTAGAGTGCATGCCTAGCATGCATGAGGTCCTGGGTTCAATTCCCAGTACCTCTACTAAATACATAAATTTAATTACCTCCCTTCATTAAAAAATGTTAAAAAATTAGACTATTTGTGTTGGGATCCTTGCAGATTCACATGCAGTTATTAAGAGTTAGTAGGTGAGACCCAGTGCCTTGTTCCCTGGAAGCAATGTCTTGCCATTTGTAACACAGGGTCACCACTAGGACACTGACACGATACAATCCACTCTTCTGTTCAGGACAATGGAAAATGCTTTTAATTGGTTGCAAATATTTAAAAATTAGGAGAGTTCACAAAAACTGTTAGACTCCCGGCTCCTCTTGACGCCTCCCCCAGAAGCAAATCCCAAGGGGAGGTGTTGGCACAGCCAGTCTGTCGAGGGCTGTGTGTTGGGGGAGCAGGGAGTGAAGTGGGGACGCCCTGGGGGCCGCTCAGCCCAGTCCTGCTGGGGCTGGCGGAGTTACTGCCCCACCCGCCCCTGCCAGGAGAGAGGGAGCTGGGGCGTTTATCCATCACGGATGTTGGCTGCAGGCTGCCCCTGGCAGGTGGGAGGGGGCTGTGGATTCCCCAGCCTTCCAGCCCCCTCCGAGCGGAAGAGGCTCTGGATCGTGGAAGCAGAAGCAGCCTTGGGCAGAGGGCGTCCTGGTATGTGTAGCTCAGGCCTGGGCGGGGCGGAGTCTGGGGTCTGTCCCCAGAGCCTGCAGTGGCGCCTGGCCGGGTCGCTGCCCAGCTGCCAGTGACCAACGCTGTGAGAGCTCGCCTGCCTGCGTCTCTGCCGCCCCCCACCCTAGGCCACCTCCCCGCTGCGTGGACGCAGTAGCAGTACCACACTGCGCCAGTGGGGGCCAGACTGGGCGCCAAGGGTCCAAATCCCAGCTCCACCGGAACTAGCTGTGGCCTTGGACGAGCCCCCGGCCTCCCTTGCCTTGTTTCCAGACCTGTAAACTGGGCCAGTGACGTCTGTGCTCTGAGGAGCAAACACTAGGTGGGGGCGGCTGTCCCGCTCACGCGCCTTTCCAAGCAGAGGGTGCTTATCTCCCCAACCTATGCCTCCCGCACCTGCTTGTGTGATTTGGGACAGGGCCCAAGGCCACGGGGCTGGCCGGCAGCTGAGCTGGCTTCACACCCAGATGTGTCGCCTCCCCAGGGCCGCTTCCTGGCTGTGCACGTGGCACCTGGGTCCCAGCTGCCCCATCCCTGTGGGGGTCAATGGGCCAGCCCTTCCTGCAGGGCTGTCACTGGGGTTGGGGGAGAGCCCCCTCCAGGCAGACCCTCCACACAGAGCTTTGGGAAGGGGCGGGGGTGTGCACCTCACTGGGAGCCAAGGAGGGTACACCTGCCAGCAGGTGGGCTCCTGCCCCACCTGCCACCCAGGTGGCAGGGAGGAGGGGTCCAAGGGGCACCACCTCTGTGCCAGGTTCAGTCTCACACGGTCCTGCAGCATCAAGACACAAGCCCCACAACACCTGCCTGGCGTGACTCCCCCACTAGACCACAGGGTGCACCCCAACATGAGACCCCACCAGCTCCCTACGCTGTGTCCTCTGGAGCACAGCCCTCGGGGCCGATGCCTCTCTAACAGGACAAACAGATGCTCACCCGGTCGTCACAGGGGTGAAGCCGGCCTCTCCGCAGAACTCGGCCCCCCAGGTCAGCACTGCAGGTGGCCAGCCTGGGGGCCTGTGACCCTCTGACCTACACGTGGCTCCTTCTGGAGGCCTGGGGCCCAATGAGGGGCTGGAGGAGGTGGCCCTGGAGCCAGAGGACCCCGCCCAGCTGGACCTTGACTGCCGAGTCTCTCCGTGGCCTCCTCACAGCGTAGGCTTTGCCCTGATCTCAGTCTGACATGTCCAGCCTCCAGGCACTGTGCTCCGGCCTGCCCCTGCGGCCCCTCCCAGAGAACCGTGGACGCTGGCCTGGGGTGCCCCACGCCCCAGTCCGAACCCCTGGCCTCAGCCCTGCAGAGGAGCAAGTAAGAGGCTGGGCCCCATCCCTGCGGGGCCATCTGTCCTCTGGGTGCCTACTGGGGAGTCTGGGGGGGGCCTTCCCCACCTCCTGCTCCACCTCCCCCCCACCCCTGGCCTCAGCGAGCCCCCAGTGGGGGAGACCGTGGGATGGGGGCCCAAAACCCTTCATTCTCTCCCCAATGCACCCTGGGGTGTAGGACTCCAGCCCCCATTTCCTGATGGGGAAGGACCTTGGGCTCAAGGTCACCCAGCCGGGAAGTAGAGGCCGGGGGCTGCCCCCAGCAGTCAGTCCCAATCTTCCTGCGTCTGCAGCTCTGTGGCTGCAGCCCTGCAGAGGGAGGGCAGGTGTGCTGGGGGGAGCAGGCCAGGTGTCCCTACTTGTAGGAGATGGGCCAGGAAGACGGCCAGCTGGCGCCGGGCGGGTCACTGACCATCTCCCTGGTCAGCAGGGAGGAAAATAATTACACACAAGTGTTCAGGAGACCAGCTGGAAAAAAGTCGGGGCGAAAAGCTTTCTCCTACTTTCGTGCACTAAAGACTTCTTGGGGATTTCAAGAACACTCGGGGAAAGCAGGGATCCAAGCAAGCGGGAAGACTGGAAGAGGGATCCCCCAGAGGCCAGGCGGCCACCCAGATGGAGACGCTGCCCTTCCTGCGGCCGCCTGGCCTGCAGCCAGCGCCGCCCACAGAGGGGAGGGCACGGGGCCCAGCTCGGCCTGGTCGAGCAGAGGTCAGTGTGTCCACCCCTTGGGCACCTTCCTGCTGGGCGGCAGCACATCGACCTTTGGCCGCGAGGGCCCAGAGGGCTCCGGTGACACCCTAATGGCTGGTGGTGTGACCAGCAGGACACAGGTGGCCCTGGGAGGGGGTGACTTGCGGTCTGGGGGCTTCGAGCTGCATCCTGGTGGAGGGCCCGCGCCTTCCGGCTGCAGGGGCCTGTGCAGGAACAAAACATGTGTGTCCATCTCTGCCCCGCTTCCTTCCTGCTGAGATTCGGTCTTTGACCCGGGTTCCTGACACAGGGCTCCTAAATCTGTTGGAATTTCCTGGGCGACAGGAGGCCACTCTGGACGGCTCCTGGTGGGGGCTGGTCACTGGAAGGACCAAACTGTGATTAGAAGTTGGAACTTCCAATCCCACCCCATCCTCCAGAGAGGGGAGAGGGGCTGGAAGTGGAGTGAATGATCAATCATCCTTTGTGAGGAAGCCTCAAGAACCCCTGGCCTGCAGGGTCGGGGCTTCTAGGCTGCCCCCGCCCCCCCGACCCCCCTTCTCGGGCAGCTCCCTGGTTATTCTAGAATAAACCAGCAGAAGTGTTTCCCTGCGTCCAAGAGCCGTTCTAGCAAACTACTGACCTGAGGAGGGGTGTAGGACCCCCCTTTGTCAGAAGCGCAGTGTCAACCTGGGCGTGCGATGGGCGACTGAGTGGGCGCATCCCGTGGGACTGAGCCCCTGACCTGCGGTGTGGGGCCGGGCGGCAGTGTCAGGGCCCAGCCGAATGTAGAACACCCAGCCGGGGGCAGAGAACTGGCCGATGTCCGAAGCCCCGCGTCCCATCCCAGAGGGATCTGCATGAGGACCTTCCTCCTGGAGAGAATCGCGGGGGCTCTTCCAAGACGGCCCCAGGCCCCTCAGCCTCCTCAGCTGGTGGCCTTACACTTCCCTTGTTTCTGATGTTTTTGTGTAAACATCTCTTTGAGTTTTGGCATAAACTTTTCGAGGCGATTTTAAAAGATAAGCAAGTGAAATGTTCCGAGTCCTATCACTGGCTTTGGCGTCTCCTTCCAGAGGCGTTCCATGTGCGCACAAGGTGTGTGTGTCCTTCTGAAAGTGGAAATGGGACTTTCTTTCGAGACCGTCCTCCCCGGCGCCGTTGGAGCCGCCCCTGTCTTCGAGCTGCTGCGGGTGCTTCGTGGTTGGGGTGGTAGAGCGCTGCCTCGCCCTTTGCTCTTCTGTAGGTGGGCTTCTGTCCTTCTGCACAGGGCGTGGCCCCGCTGGAAGCCTCCAGGGCTGTGTCCACGGCGGCGGCTTCTGCCGAGCAGAGGGAAGCTCGTCCTGTCACACGCGAGCTGGGCCTGTTAGGGGTGTCTTGTGTCCTCGCTCCCCCGCGTGCAGTTTCTCTTAATGGCATTTCCCCAGACCGTGCCCCGCCTGGAGGGGCTGCGCTGCACATCAGACCCCAGACCTGAAGACCTCCCGTCACTGCTAACACAGCCCCTGAGCTTCTGGAGGGTGGGGCTCTGTTGAGCTCGTTCCTGGGTCTTCAGTGATGCTGGAGTTGTTTGTTGAGTGGATGAACAAGACTACATGCTAAGTGCCCAAATGAATACCCTACCGGAGTTTAGCAGGCAGGAGAAACCCAGGAAGGCTTCTTGGAGGAGCTGTCCTTGGCACCGTGGGCAAGGTTTCCAGACTGAGAAACCTGAGAGGGAAGGCCCTTTGGAGCCAGCGGGAGGCAGTGAGTGAAGATGCAGAGAGGGCTTGTGCAGAGTAAATTGGGGAGGAGGAGGCCCCATGTAGGCCCATGCTGGGTGTGGACCTTGCAGAGCCGGGCCCACCTGGTTACTGAGGGGCCTGGACGCCAGCCAGTGTGCACTTTATCAGGTGCATAACAAGGAGCTCATGATGGTCCCTGAGCTGGGCGTGACCTGCCTCTTAACAGCACTGCCCATGGAGAGTGCAGGTTCCTAGGTGGGCAGGGTGGACAGAGGCCCGGCTGGAAGGATGAGGCCGTGAGTGTGGGAGACGGTCGTTCTGGGAGCCGTGTGTGCCAGGCACGGTGCTTAACCCATCGGTTCACCCGGTCCCCAAGATGGCCCTGGGGGGCAGGAGCCACCTGCTCGGAAGAGGAGGCTGAAGTCCTGAGAGGCGAGGCAAGCATGTGTGGGGCAGACCCCAGTACAGACTGAGGTGCGGAGACCTGGGCGCAGAGGCAACAGCCTCTGGGGAGGCTGCCCGCCCCAGCCAGAGGAGCCTGACCCACGGTTTGGACCCAGGAAGCCTGGCTGCAGTTCCGGCGAGGGCACAGGAGGGTGCAGGTAATTCAGACAGAGCCATTGTTCTTGGCAGAAACAGTGACAGTCAGAAACTTCTAGCTCCCTGCCAGGTTAGAACGAAAGGCGTGGGCCACATCCTCTGTCTGTCTGTCGGTCTCTCTCTCTCTGACACACACACAAGCACCCCTGCCCTGTGAGCCACTCCAGGTCGCGGGCTGGTGTCCTCGGTTACCAGCCACCAGGCAGGAAAGGTGTTCTCGCAGCAGAAGCGACATGATTCTCGCCATCTTCTTAGTGTCCTGTCGCTGCTGACAAATCCCCACAACGGCAGTGGCTTTAAACCGGCACAGATTTGCTCCCTTACAATCCCGAGCGCAGGAAACCCGAAACGGGCTTCACTGGGCTAAGAGCAAGAAGGCTCGTGCAGACGCAAGAAGCGGCAGTTCCCCTGCTCAGGCACTGCTGCCTCGTGACTCTCACGCTGGGGCACAGGCCTCACAGATCAGGAGTGTCCTGGTTTGGGTTTACATGTTTTAAATGCCTGTAACTCATTTTTAGTAGAATTAAATATATGATGGAAGGTCAAGTTAAAAATGTTGCAGCAGGCTGGCTCCCCCCGAGGACAGCCCTCCGCTGGCCTTTCTGGGCTCCAGAGGTGCCTGCGCTCCTGGGCTCCTGGGCCCTCTGTCTCCAAAGCCAGCAGTGCAGCAAGTCCCAGTCCCTCAGCTCTCCTCTTATGAGGACACCTGGGATGCTGCAGGGTCACGTAGGATCGCCTCCCATCTCAAAATCCTTACCTGAACCACATCTGCAAAGTCTCTCTTGCTGTGTGACGTTACGTGTTCACAGGTCCCGGGCGGCAGGGCGTGGACATCTTTGGGGGCCTTTATTCTCTCCACTGGACCATCAGGCACCCAGAACTCTCCCCCGACCCCAGGCTGCACACCGGACTTTTGTGAAACAATCCCCTGGCCCTAAGGGTGCAGGCCACTGAGCTTGTCAGATCCTCATGCCGTTAAGTCAAGGCGGGGGAGGGGAAGAGGTCTCTAGAATTTCTGTCCAATGTATGTGCCTTGAGTACGTCCGATTTTGCCAGTAAGGCCCCCTGGCAACACGCATTATGTGACCCACAGGCCGCACTCTCAATGGGGAAAACCTGTGTCTGCCTCCTCCGTGCTGCAGAGCAGACCCTCTGGAGTCGGCCAAGCTGTGGGGTCCTGTGCAATCACTGCCAGCCAGCTGGCCACCGGGACTGAATTCCCAAGTCGGCCCCACAGGCTCTGCCTGGCGGTGCTTTAGAATAAACTGAAGACCTTTGAGCAAGGGAGCAGCAAGGCTGGGGGGGCGGGTTCTGCCTTGGGATCTTTGGATGAGGAAATGGGCGGGGTCTGCCCGAGCTTGCACACCTGCTGTGCGGCAGGGCCGGGCAGACCCTGCTGTCCCTGCACATCCAGAGACCACCCCCATCGCCCACCTGGCCTGCTCTTGCTGACCCTTCTCCTCTGCCGAGACTGCCGGGGCCTTGGGGCACCTGGGCCTCGTCCGGGGTGGCCACAGGACCCCAGCACATCACACAGCCTGTCCGAGCTCCACCTCTTCGTGATGCTGAGAATGGCCCCTGTTCAGAGCTTGGAGTATTGAATCCAGGCTGGCAAAGAGCTGCTTCTTTCAAATTCTTTCGCTCAAGAACTATCTGCCGCATACCTCTCACGTAACTTTAGACACAGAAGAGAAAGTTACTGAACAAAAATACAGAAGACAACTTTCCTGAGCTAGTGAAAACATGAAATTGCAGATAAAAAGAGTTTACCATCAGAAGCAAAAACAGAAACTCTGATGTAGGATGGTTGGCGTGAAGCCGTACTCAGGCTGACTCACTGAATTTCAGGGATAAAGAGGAATCCAGTGGTCCTAAAATGGGGTCTTTCACGAGGGGGGTTGTGGCAAATGGAGTTCTGTGCTGCGTTGTGGGTTCGGGGAGTCGCTGGCGCCCCTCTGTGTTTGTGGTGCACGTGCAGAAGGACTTTGTGCTGGAAGCCGTGGAGTTTCAGGGCCTTTTAAGGCATTTCGTGGAATGGCTGAGACGTTCCACCAGCTCTGTGCACGGACACAGTGTAAGGACGGTTCATTTTGACGGGAGACTTCACTGAGTGTTTGCGGCGTGGACACCCCCGCCCAGCGCTGCACCAGCACTCGCACGGGCCGCCTTCCACCCGGCGCCTCCGGGACACGCACACGTGAGGACGGGGATCCTGGTGGTCAGGCCGCAGCTGCCGCCTCTCTGTGGGCTGCGACATGGGGCGGGGGTTGGAACCAGCGTTTCCTAGAAAGTGAACTCAAGGGAGCCAGAGTCCAGCAGAACACGTTGGGACCCACGACATAGGGTTAGGCCTCTAGTGGAGCGTGTGTGCCTGTGTGAGGTGTTGCTTTTGGAACTTTTCCATAAATGTTCGGTTTTGCTTGGCAAGATCGGATTAGCAGCTGTGCCGTTGAGCTGTGGCAGGCGCAGAGAGCAGCTGGACCCCAGGCCCCGGCCAGACTGTGGAGGGCCTGGCTCTCCTGACTCCTGGCCGCACACCTTCCCTGCAGTTGCAGTGCGTCCTTTCTGGTGGGCCCCTCCCACGCAGCCCCAGGGGCAGGAGAATCAGCCGGCTGCTGCCCTCCCGCAGCGGTTCCCAGAGGGGGGTCCCCGGGTCGGCGGTGGCAGCCCCTGGGAACCCAGAACTGCGCACCAGAGACTTCGGGGCTGGCCAGCCTCCGGGTGACTGAGAACCTCCCGCCGGGGCGTATGCCGAGCCACCTCTCAAGGGAGGCGCTGTGTTTCCGGTCGTTTTTTTCTAAGGGAGGAGGGATTTTGTGCTTTTATTCCACATGAAAACTGAAGAGGCTGTTCTGGGCAAACCGTCTCCAGCTCCGGGGACCCTGAGCCAGTGATTCCCTCATCATCCGTCTCACCCTCCCCTCCCGCCCCACCAGCCTGAGGCCCTCAGTGACACCCTTGTCACGAAGTGCTGGACCTCAGGGCACACGGGGCGGGCTGCCCTCCTCCTCCTAGCCCTCTGCCCTTGGCGTCCAGGGCACCTTACTGCCTGAGGCTACTGGCCGAGCTGGGGGCTGCTCTGCCCTGGCACGAGGTGCTGTGGCCCCACACGCCTGCTTTCCTCCCCCGGAGTCTGCACCCCCCTGCAGTCACAAGCCTCAGGGCAGGCCCCTCTCTGGTCCTTCCCTGTGGCCAAGCAGCCTGGCCCATGGGGAACAAAAGAGGGAGAGACTTGAGGGCTCCTACATGAAGCAGAGAGGGCGATCAGGGAAGGCTTCCTGAAAGAGGTGACATTGTAGACAGGCCTGGGTGAGAACTGGGCCATCTCTGGGCAGGGCCATAGGTTTCTGAGTAGAACAGAGGCACACCAGTGGGGAGGGAGGATGACCCATCGTGGAAGCATCTCGATCCTGGCCTGGAGCCTGCACCCCTGCTGCACTCACGGCTCTCCTCCTGCAGCTGGCACTGAGGAATGCCCTCCGGTACTTCCCCCCGGACATCCAGGAGCTGCTGGCCCCCGAGTTCGCCCAGGAGCTGCGACTGTACGGGCACATCTACATGTACCGGTTCTGTCCCGACATGGAGATGAGGTGGGTGCAGGTGGGCCCCTGGGGGACCATGTGGGGTCAGGAAACAGGGAAGTGGGACCAGGCTGTCAACCCCAGAACGGCCAAGCCCGCAACATGGGCCAGGCTTGGGGCTGCAGCCAGCTCCAGGCAGAAGGATCTGCCCTCCTTATGCCCCCAGGAGATGCTGCCCCACTGGGCACCGTTGTTCTTGAAAACACTAGAGGCCCAGGCTGTCTGGACCACCCCATGAAACAGAACTGCGTCCCCTCACTCCTGCGCAGGACTACTGGTCTGGCACCCGCTCCAGGGTCGGTGCCAGGGGCCTGGTGGAGCGAAGGGGAGGACGGATAGATAAAGTCGGCCTGGAGGAGAGGCTTCTGCTGTGCTTTGAAGTCAGCCTTCTCCCCGGTGGAGCCTGCCAAACGGGAGGGAGGCAGCCTGGGCGGGGTGAGGTCCCACTGCCCATCCCGGGAACAGTGTGAGTACCGGAGCAGTTGGCCTGGTGGTTTGGAACCAGCTCCTGCTGGGAGCTCCGAGGGGCCCTTCCGCAGGGCGCCGGGCTCGCTGTCCCCACCTGCGACCAGGGGCTGAGCTGAGGCCATGCTGGGCTTCAGCCGCAGGCAGGAAGCCTGTGCCACCCGACAGCAGGCCTGGCAGCTGGACCCCCTTGCAGGGCCTACCCGGTGGAGCAGTACCCCTGCCGGACGCGCGCGGCTGCAGCCATCATGCACATGGTCATGAACAACCTGGACCCTGCCGTGGCCCAGGTAACGGCTGAGAAGCGAGAACTGGGCCTGGGCCAGCGCTGCCCCATGGAGACGCACTGTGAGACACACGTGTGACGCTCCCAAGCCTTTTATTTAGAAATAATGATGGACTCACAGGAAGTTGCAAAGGCAATGCAGGGAGGAACCCACCCCCTGTCCCAGGCGCCGCCAGCGGCTGCCTCTCCCGTGACCCGCGCACAGGCGCAGCACCGCGACATCCACGCTGGTACAGCGGACGCACTCGTGGTTTTACATCCTCTAGTCTCCACGAAAGCTAAAAGGAAGCAGCTTTCATTTGGTGGTTTGTCCCAATGTGTCCAAAACATTATCATTTTAACACGTAATCTATATGAAACTTACTGAAATATTTTGTAGATTTTTTCCCACCGAGGCCTTGAAATCAGGGGTGTTTATCTCAGCATTTTATGCTTAGAGCTCGTCAGACGCCTGTGGCTCCGGTGCCTGACGCCCGCCCACATGTGGGCGGTGCAGGTCGGGCCACATGTGCCTGTCCCGGGCGTCCTCCAGCGGCAGCCTGTGCATCAGATCCCTGCATTCGAGAAAGCATTTAGCCTTCGGGGCACTTGGCCCTGAGCATCATGCTTGTGTGTGAAAGGGCCCTAGATCTTTACTGCCCACCTCGTAGCGAGGGTGTCCTCAGCCCTGGCCCCAGGATCTGCTCAAGGACAGGCCCCAACACTGGCTGCAGGCTGAGTTCCCGAAGTGACCCCAGACCCAGCTCTGATGCTCACCCTGAGCTGAGCCCTGACCCTGCTCACAGGTGGGCCGCGGTCCCCTGCCCTTGACCCTTCTGGCTCCCCTCCTGCCCTCCGCCGGCCTACCACTCCTCCTTCAAGGGCCTTCGGCCACCTGCCCCTTGAGTCCAGTGCAGGGGTGGGAGGCCCCCACCTTAGCTGACACCATGTCTTCTCCAGTTCCCCCAGGAGCTTGTGACCTACGGAGGAAACGGGCAGGTGTTCAGCAACTGGGCTCAGGTGCGCTGGCTGTGTGGCCGCTCCCCTCAGGACCTACCCCCTACCCTGGGCTCCCCCGCCAATCTCTGGCCTAGAAGGGCCCTGCAGACCCACAGCTCGACTCAGTCTCTACCTCCCTGATGCCAGGCTGTCTGGGGACATTGGAGGTCCTGAGGGCAGAGCCCTGGAGTGTCGCGGAGGCTGGGGGGGACCGGCTGCAGCCTGGGTGGTGACGGGGCCGGAGAGGCCCCCTCACGAGCCTGTGGTTTCGCTCTGCCTGCAGTTCTGGCTGACGATGACCTACCTGGCACAGATGACAGAGGAGCAGACCCTGGTCATGTACAGCGGGCACCCGCTGGGCCTCTTCCCCAGCAGCCCCGGGGCCCCAAGGCTGGTTATCTCCAACGGGATGGTGGGTCCCTGGGCAGCAGGGGAGCCGGGGCCCCCCGCCCACTGACCCCTCGTTCTGGAGGGCCCGGTGCGGCCCCGCCTTCCTCCGTTCCTCTCTTCCAGGTCATTCCCAACTACTCCTCCAGGACGGAGTATGAGAAGCTCTTCGCCATGGGAGTCACCATGTAAGTCACGGTTTCTGTCTGCCACGGCTTCGTGGTAAGAGGACGCAGCCACGGTGACTGCAGCTCCACAGCCCCTCACGGTGGAAGGCCTGCAGCGAGCTTCGTGTTTATGTGTTTGCTGCTAGTTCGTGGGAGGGCCTACGATTTGTATACGCTTGTGAGCGAATGAACGTACAACTTGAATCCCACTTTTTGCAACAGTAGATTATGATCACTTTCAAACCTACAGAAAATTGAAAGAATTGACAGGGGACACCAAGCTCCTGGGCCTGACCCGCTGCTGAGCTCACTTCGCGTCCTACCTGCCTCTCCAGCCCTCTCTCCGGGGTCTTTGTGACGCATCTCAGAGTAAGCTGCACACACCATTGCCTGGAATTCAACGTTTGTGCGCAGAGTTTTTCCTTCTAAAGTGAAGTTGACACATCACGAATGCACGTCTGCACGCGTGCCGTGGCCTCTGTGGGAGGCATGTGTCTGTGCAGGAAACCCCTGGGGGCACAGCCGCCCTGCCGGGCATGTCGTAACGTTAACGCTCTCATTGGAGACCTTCCCTTGAACGTCATTATGGAAGGAGCCGCAGCAGGAAGGGAGTCCCTCTCCGACCCCAGACGCCCAGCCATCACGTCTCCTGTGACCTTCCCAGCACCTCTTGTGCGTGTGGACTTCCAACGGGGCTGGTTGGACACGGGGGGCAGGGCCTGCCGCGCCTGCCCCGCTTCAGCTGTCCCATCTCAGGAGACAGGAGCAGACTCACTGTTTCACCAGCAGTTCTCCGCTGCCCGGTGATTTGTGCAGCCCACCTGCCACCTGGGTTGGGTTGTCTTCAGCTCTTTGGGGAGGTGCAGACGCAGCAGCAAACCCTGATCCGCTGTCTCTGGGCATCTCTGGGGTGTTGCGCTGGGGTTGTTACCACGTGAAGAGTGCTGAGTCTGCAGTATTGGGAGCCGGCCCAGCAGGCCTCAGACTATGGCTTATGATGTGACCGTGACCTGTCACTGCCACGTGCTCTAGTAGCCACAGACGCCTCCAATGCAGGGACCAGCGTTGACCCGTTTGTGGAGGGGGAAACAGGCTCAGAAACCCAGTTCCTTTTTTGGTTCGTTGTGAGCAGTTACCGTCGCTATCTGACAACAACATCCAGCAAGGTGCTGTCATTACTATTTATCGCGAGGCCTGACGCCCCCTTCTGTAGTGGGAGCAGAGAAGCGGTTGGTGCCTGGCTCTGTGCCTCCTGAGTGTGGCCTTGGACCGGCCATCAGGCCGGGGACAGGCGGAGCTGCAGAGTCAGGCCTGGTCTGGCCGCCCCGGGGCGCTGACCCATGCGCCGACCCACGGTCTGCGGGCAGCTGACCAAAGAGAAAATACAGAAGAGCAGCGGAGGGGAAGGGCTTCCTGTACCAGGAGCCTGAGACCCACTGCCCAGACCGAAGCCTTCTCACCCTCAGGCTGAGAGAAGCAGGCTGGAAATAGCCCCCAGCACCCTGGGGCCGCGGGGAGACAGGCGGCCGCAGACTGGGGGCCAGGAGTCAATGCCGCAAGCCTGGGGTCGCCGGGAGGGCTGCCTCTAGTGACGGGGTCCGAGGCCCAAGTGGAGACACTCTGACCCCCAGTTTTACTCCTAAGAGTGCCCTGGGGGCAGCAGACCAGGCAGACAAAGGATGCATCAGAGGGGTGTAAGGTGGGCTCCCGCCCTGCCCGGTGTCCCTGTGTGGCCTTGGACCTCGGGGCCTCTCTGCGAAGAGCGGTTAATAGCCCCTGCCTCCTCAGAGTTGTGTGAGGGTTAACAGACCCGGCTTCGGTGGCGGGGGGAGGGGCGGGGAAGGTGCTGGGTGCTGGGTGCTGGCACCCTCCAGACTCCCCTGACCCCAGCCGCCCTCAGGCAGCCGCTGAGAGCTGCCCTTCCCACCACTGCTGCAAATGCAAACGCTGGGCTGTCATCATGGGATGCAGACGGGCGCGCTCACACGCCGCTGGTGGCTGTCACCCGCGAGCTTTACCTGGTGATACTCTGGACGTTTGCACCCGTGTCCCAGGGTGGCTGGAGCCGGGCCATCCCGATCTGCGGCCTCGGGCAGCAGACTGGGGAGCCAGCACCAGGGAGGCGCAGGGTCTGCCGGTGCTGATGTGGAGAGACCCCACAGGCCTGTGTTTGGGGGAAACAGACTGAGGCCATTACATAAATCACATTAACCCCTCACGCAGGACTGCACACCAGTCTCGTGTGTGGTGGGTGAGCCCTGATGCGGGTGCCTGGGGCGCCAGCACCTCTGGCCGGAGCCGGAGCCCCTCCTGGCAGCTTGCCCGCAGAGGTGGCCAGACGTCCTGGGGACGGAATCCTGGGAGGCCTCTGCCTTCTCCCCTCTGCATGTCCCCGCCCGGGTCCTCCTCCTGGGGCGGGTTTGGTCCTCCCTTCACCTGGAGGTGCTGGGTCGGGTGCTGGGTCTCTGGTCCATACACGGTCCCCCGGGCGACGACCAATTTCACTGCAGTTTCAAGGGAACGACGCCTGGCTGTGAAGGGTCTGAGGGGCCAGAGGGGACCAGAACTGGGGGCTGCTGCCTTTGCTACTGCTTCCTTTTGTTTTTTCAGGGGTGTACTCATGCGCTGAGGCGAATACCGCTCTTCTCCGCCGTCTCAAGTGGGCGGTGGAGGGGCTCAGCCGCTCCTTCTCTGTGCCCAGGTACGGCCAGATGACCGCCGGCAGTTACTGCTACATCGGCCCCCAGGGAATCGTCCACGGCACGGTGGTGAGGCGCGGGCAGGCTGGCCTCGGGGGGGGGAGGGCGCGGGCGCCGGCAGTGACCCGACCCCTCGGCCCCCAGCTCACTGTGCTGAACGCCGGGCGTCGGTACCTGGGCGTCCAGGATCTGGCCGGGAAGGTCTTCGTCTCCTCCGGGCTGGGCGGCATGAGTGGGGCTCAGGCCAAAGCCGCGGTCATTGTGGGCTGCATCGGTGTGGTGGCGGAGGTGAGACCCTGGCAGCACCGGCCTCCGCCCTTCGGCCTCCCCATCCAGCTCCTGTGCCCCCGGGAGGCTCCCTGGGCAGCAAGTGCCCCTGCCTTCCGAGAGCCGCCACCTTCCCTGACCGCTGTTGGGAAAGTGGGTGACTGACACAGGGCGGCCCCGTGCCTTGGTCCCAGGTGGACAGAGCGGCCCTGATGAAACGCCACGAGCAAGGCTGGCTGATGGAAGTGACCGACAGCTTGGACGGCTGTATCGAGAGGCTCAGGTACAGTGCCTGGCCCAGGGGAGGGGAGGAGGCCCCGAGGTCCTGCTGTCACACAGCTGAACACACCTATCGGTGCAGCCCCGGGTGACAGGCGCCTGAAGCGGCCCGTCTCACTGTGTCTCTGCCCCCGGTCCACAGAGACGCGGGTGGGAGTGGGTGGGAGTGGGTGGGCCCCCCACAGCTCTGAGGCCTTGGGGGTGCTCAAGTCCTCTGCTGCCCCGAACAGGCTTTCACTTTCTGTCCTTTCATTTTTCCACAATGTTTAGAATCCTCTCTAGTGACGCCTGCAATTTGAGGGTCCCCTGGAGTGAGAGTCCTAGGAGCCGCAGCCCCAATTCTATGAGTCCAATCCTGCGGCCGGTGGGGGGCGGGTTGTCACCACTGTCGCATCCGTCTACATTTGGGGGATTCAAGGCTGCGGTTCCCCTTGGGTCGGGTCCCTCACCAGCTCGTGTGAGTGTGGGGTGGGCCGCCGTGGGCAGGCGCCAGCGTCATCTGTCCTGCCCTGTGCCCTTCCAGGGAAGCGAGGAAGAGGAAGGAGGTGCTCAGCCTTGGTTACCATGGCAACGTGGTGGATCTCTGGTAAGTGGGGGGAGCTGGCAGCCTTGGGGACCCCGGTGAGCGCCCTCCAGCCAAGGTCCTGATCCTGGCCAGGCGCTCCCAGCAGGCACCTCAAGTGTCAGCTCCAGCTTACACGGCCTGGGTCCCGGCTGAGCTCAGGGCAGCCTCCTCTGCTCCGCCCGACAGCCCTCCTGCTGGGATCTGTCCAGGGGAGGCAGGATTAGCCTCTGCGCCTGGCTGCCGGTCATGCTGGCTGGACAGCACCCTGCAGTGCCCTGCGTGCCCTGGCTGTACAGCCCGGTCCTGACCACCCCACCTCTCCCCAGGGAGCGCCTGGTCTATGAACTGGACATGACGGGGGAGCTGTTGGTGGACCTGGGGTCAGACCAGACGTCCTGCCACAACCCGTTCAATGGTGGCTACTATCCCGTGCAGCTGAGCTTTGCAGAGGCCCAGAGCCTCATGGCCTCCGACCCTGTTGCCTTCAAATGCCTGGTCCAGGAAAGGTGACGCAGGACCCGGGCTGCTCAGGGTGTGGGGTGGGTGCACGCGGCCTGCAGGAGCTGTTGGACTGGGCAGCTCTGGCCTCTGCCTGGTTCTCCTGTGGTCCGCTTTGTGGCCTTGAGCAAGACCCTTAACCTCTCTGGGCCTCTGCTCCTCCTCCGTCAGAAGGGATCATGGGTGCACAGGCCTGTAGGGATGCTGGGGGATAGACTGGGGTGACATTTGTAAAACACCGGGTGCAGCTTCAGGCACGCGTCGGTGCAAGGCAGACGCTTACAGAGGGGACCTGAGAGAGCTTCTGGAAGCCGGCCCTGCCTGTGGGGTGCCAGCCTGGCTGGGCACCATGCTGGGACTGAAGGGGAAGGGGATTGTGAGGAGCTGGTGGCTGGGGGCTTCTGGGCAGGAGGCGCTGGCGGGGAGGTGCAGGGCCGCAAGCTGGGGCGGGAGTCAGCAGAGTGGCAGGGCAGCCGGGGTGGCAGAGCTCCCCGTGGTGTGGAGCTGACCGCTGCCCGTGGCCTGTTGCAGCCTACGGAGGCACGTGGCGGCCATCAACAGGCTGGCCAAGGAGAACTTCTTCTTCTGGGACTATGGCAACGCCTTCCTCCTGGAGGCCCAGAGAGCAGGTGAGAGAGGGGAGGTGGGCGAGGGGCACGCTTCCCTCTGCAGCAGCAGGCCTGGCCGGCGGGGCTAGTGTGTCCAGCAGGACAGGTCCTCAGCGTACCTTCTGGAAGCTGGCCCTGCCTGGCCCTGCCCGGCCTCAGCCTCACTGGGCCTCAGTTTCTCCATTTACTCCGAGAACATAAAGAGCCATGAGGAGAGCAAGTCCAGTGCTCAGTTACCAGCTCTGGCCCAAAAAAGGGTCAGCTTTACTCCTCCGTGAAGGAAACTTTCTGTAGAACAGGCGATTCAGGCCTGAAGAGTAAGGTGCGGGAGGTACCTTGGCTCCATGTGGAGGCGCTGTCCAGGCCCGGGCCCCCACGCCAGCTCCCCTCCAGGGTCTGCAGGCCCTGGTGTGCGGTCAGGTCAGGTCGGGCACGTCCAGCACACGTGCAGACCCTGCCGGCCCCGCACGGATGGCCACTCCAGTGGTCTTCCTCCTTCCCTCTGAAAGAGACCCTGGTGATGCGTCCCCTCCAGGAGGGAGCCCTCCACACTCTCCCCCGCTCTTTGTTTACGTCGTCACCGTCTGGACTCCGTGAGCAGGCAGGGCCCCGCCCCTCAGCCTCTCTGGTGACTGTGGGCGGCGCTCTGTCCACAGGGGCTGACGTGGGGAAGGTGGGGGCCAACAAGACAGAGTTCCGCTACCCCTCCTACGTGCAGCACATTATGGGGTAAGTGACCGGCCCGCGGCGTCTGGTCCTGGACACCCAGGTCTGAAGAGCCCCTCCTCTGACTGCCGCTGAGGCCACATGCAGAGACCTGCGCTCAGCCCTGAGGGGACCAGGCCGCAGGTCCCGGCGTCTCCACCCCAAATGCAGGAAGGGGAGCCAAAGTGTGAGACCCTATGCAGGGCCCCAGTAAGAGAACAGGATGCTGGGGGCTGGAGCCAAGGTCACCTTCAGTGACCCTCCCAACCTCCATGTCCCACGGTCCTGGATGTCGTGTCCAAGGAGCCGCCCGTCCCATGGCCACGCCTGAGCTCCGACTGGGCAGCTAGCGGCCTGATCCCTGCCACCCGTGTGCCTGCCTGCTGGCTGGCCTAGTGGGGCCCAGGACCGACGGGGAGGAGGAGCTGTTGGGGGGGAGAGGAGCCTGGAGCTGGAGTCTAAGCAGCTGGGGTGGGGCGGGGAGCCGGCGGGTGCACATCAGAGGGGACCTGAAGAGGAGGCGTGAGAGGCCAGCGTCCTTCTCAGGTTCATTGTTGGTGGGGAGGAGGACAGAGCTGGGCCACGGCCACAGGTCCAGGGCCACCAGGGCGTCCCCAGGGGCAGCAAGAGGGGAGCCGTGAGGGGCTGGGTGAGTGTGAGAGCTCGGGGAGGGCCCTGCACCCCCCTGCCTGGGTCAGCTCAGAAGGTCAGGCCTCCTGCAGCAGATCTGGCCAAGTCTCCGTTTACTCTTTCTCCCCCTTTGCAGTTTGGTGGCCTGGTTGCCAGGTTGTCCCTAACAGCGATCTGAGGAGTTTCCTCCTGTCTGTGTCCTGGCCCTTGCTCCTGTGGAGATAGTGCAGCCCCGAGAGGGGACAGAGAGCTGGGGAGGGACGCTGAGGGGACAGGGGTGGGGGAGGGGCCTCTGATGTGACTGTCCAGTTAGCGGCTTAGGGGCTTCCAGCAACAATCCTGGATGCTGACACCCCCGGCAACCAGCTAGCCCCCTGCCAAGCACCTACCCTGCACACAGCCCTCACCCCTCAGTCCTGGAGCTCTGTGGCCTTCCTGTCCTTGGGCCATGGTGACCCCGGAAGGGGCTGCAGCCAGCCCGGGAAGCCCCCAGGTGATGAGCCTTTTGCCCCTGCAGGGACATATTCTCCCAGGGATTTGGGCCTTTCCGCTGGGTGTGCACGTCGGGGGACCCCCAGGACCTGGCGGTCACAGATCAGCTGGCCACATCCGTGCTGGAGGAGGCCATTGCGGGCGGAGGTGAGGCTGTTGGAGATGCTGGCAGGTGGGCGGCCCCCAGGGGCTCCCACAGACACCCGCCTGGCCCTGCTGGCCTCCTGCCTGGCGCTGTGGGCACCGGGCACGTGGCCGTGGGTGGCGCCTGGAGACAGTGCTTCTGCCTGCTCATAGCTGCCCTGGGCCATCTGCCTGGTCACCTCCACACGTCCCGGCCACTCTGCGGTCCTTACCTCAGAGCGGCTCCAGGCCGTCTGCGGCTCTGCCCTCGCATGGACGGCCCTGGCTTAGCCGCGGCCCCTTCTTCTGCAGAGGGTTGGAGAGGAGGGGGCAGTTACTTTACAGCACCTCCTGGCTGCTGGGGCTTCCACCCTGGTGCTCCGAACTTTCTTCACGGGGTCCCTGCGCCACCTTCTCTCGGGCTCTCTGGGTGGCTGGTCAGCCTTTGCTGCTTGTTTTACATCCCCATGGCCCGTTTCACCCCGCCGCCCACATCCAGGCGGGGTGGGCTTGGGGTGCTCCTGGTTAGGGATCCAGGGTGGGAGAGCCAGGTGGGTGGGGCCTTGTGTGGGCGGAGCCAACGGGGGCGGGGAGGAAGGGGCGGGGCCTTCTGGAAACATGGGCAGGGCCTGCAGGGGCTTCTTGGTGTTGGAACTGGGAAACCTGCTGAACACTCTGGTGGCCGTACTGCACCTGCGCTCAGGGGCTGATTCCACACGAACAGAGCAGGTGGAGAACCTGGAGGGCGCAGATTCTGGTAAAAGGCAGTGAAGGCACTAGAAGTCCCCATGTGTGGGCGTTACTCTCATTTTTAATACTGTTGTTCAAAGTGCAAGTTTATTTAATTGAAATTTTAACAATGTCTGTGAACCCCCGGCTCACATGATTCCTGAGGATGTAACAGTCTGTCCCCCGAGCTCCGCGGCGGCCACCCCACTCCACACGCCCTCCGCACTTTATCTACCTGCCTGTCCTGCAGGGCGGGGCCAAGCTGTGTCCACCTCAGGGCGTTTGCGCTTGCTGTTCCCTCTGCCAGAACACTGTTCCCCCAGATCATCGTGCAGCTGGTTCCTCCTGGGCGTTTAGCACTTGGCTTGGCCGCCACCTGACATGAGAGCCCTTGGGTTCCCCGACTGGCCACCCCAGTGACGAGCACACAGCACCTATTTCTTCACGGTCTTCAGCAGCCTTTGTCCCAGGGCCTGGCTCTCAGCAGGCACTCCCTAGGTGTTCGCTGAGGGAATGACTGACCGGGGCAGTGGCCTTACACATCTGAGCACAGGCTCACCTGGCCCCTGGCCTTGCTGTGTCCCAGAGTGAGATGGGCTGGTGTGGGGCTGAGGCTGGAGGCTTGTGGACCCCGAGTCCAGGTCCAGTGAAGGGTGCAGACGGGAGCCCCCGCTGAGCCGCCCTCCGGGGTAGGGTCTGCCCACCCCACTGCCCCGAACCATGGGGCAGGGGCTCCCAGGGCCCACGACGCTGCCTCCCTCTCTCCCTGCAGTGGACCCGGCTGTGAAGCTGCAGTACATGGACAACATCCGCTGGGTCCGCGAGGCTGCCAAGCACCGGCTGGTGAGGGCTCAGCCTGGCGGGAGGCTCGCTGGGGGGAGGTCACTCGGGGCCGGTAGACGTGAGCCCCGCGGAACTGCTTCGCTGGTGTCCCCACTGGCCTGAGGAGGCAGCGGCCGCCGCCTGGCACTGGGGGGCACTGGACAAAGAAACCTGGGGCCTTCAGAAGGCGGCGGCCCGGGCTCCAGGGCAGCGACCAGGGCCAGGCAGGCCCTTCCTCCCAGTCGTGGCACACACAGCTCTCCAGGGGCGGCCCTGCGGGGCCCTGGAGCCAGGCCCCCTGGCTTCTCAGCTGGGTGACCTAGGGTGAGTGGCTCAGCCTCCCTGGGCCTCCCACCTGGTCTGCACAGTGGAGGTGCCAGAGCGGCCCGTGCTCCCTGGCTGCGTGCTCCGAGGCTCCGCGGGGCCAGCGTGATTGGATGGGTATTTCTGTGGCTGTGAACGTGGACTGGGTCACACAGACCAGTCAGAGGGTGTCTCTGAGGAGCTGACTTATGAGTTGGGGGCTAAGTGTGGGGCTGGGGGCTGGGAGGCCAGCGTGTGACCGTGGCGGAGGCAGAGGGGCCAGCCGGTGCACAGCCTGAGGAGGGAGCCAGCCTGGGGCACCAGCACAGAGCAAGAACTGGCTCACATGCCTTTGGCCGCAAACACCCCCACCCCCAGAGGCGACCATCTGGCTGCTGGTGGACGTGTTCCTGGGGGCCCCTCAAGGTCAACTCTCAGCCTTCTTTCTGCAGGTGGTGGGCTCCCAGGCGAGGATCCTGTACTCAGACCAGAAAGGCCGTGTGGCCATCGCTGTGGCCTTCAACCAAGCCATTGCCCGGGGGGAGATCAAGGTGGCCTGTCCTGCGCTGTGGGGGGGCTCCCCTGGGCTCCTCGCCCCAGAGCCAGCCGGGGTCCCAGGAGGGAGGAGGCCTGCCCTCCAATCTGGGCTCTGACGCGGTCCCTGCTTTGTGACTCTGGGCCGTCGGGTGCCCTCCCTGAGCCCCGTCTCAGAGAGGAGGCTCACGTAACCCCTGCGTGTGGGAGGGGGCTTCCCCACAAGTGTTTCGTGCAGCTCTGTTGAACTGTCTCTGTCAAGCTGTGGCAGACTTCCCTGGCTTCTCCCCATTTTCCTCCTGGCCGTCCCAGCCCACCTCGCTCACCGCGTGGGGCTGACGGGGCAGCATCTTCCTCCTCCTCCCTCCCTTCCTTCCCTCCAGCCTCCTCTGCGCAGGGCTCGTTCTAACACTGGGCGCTGAGCAGAGGGCAGGGCAGACGGGTCCAGGTGGAGGGCGCTGTGGGCACACGGGCAGGGGTGTCCGTCCAGAGGCCCCGGCGTGACGAGCACACGGCAGCTCCCCGGACGTGGGGGCCGTGAGGGCCCGGGACCGCTGGTGCAGGTTGCAATCCCTGCGGCCCCGCCAGGCTGGGAGGTGTTCTGTCCTCTCTGGGCTGTAGGCTTCCTGTCTGTAAAGTAGGGATGACAGTGCGGGTGGGGTTGAGGACGCTCAGAGAGCCACACAGGGCCCCGGGGGGACGGTAAGTGCCCAGGTCCGTGCGTCTCTGAGGAGCCTGGGGGTGCTGGAAACGCCTGTGCTTCCCCCTCCCCGAAGGTCCGTTTTCCAGGGGGGACCCGGCAGGCGCCTGGCATGCACTGACCCTTGAGCTCCGCCCTGCGCGGGGCAGCACGTGGATGCTGTTGGCTGACCTCTGTGTCCTTCCCCATGGCAGGCGCCTGTGGTGCTGAGCCGAGACCACCATGATGTCAGCGGCACCGACAGCCCGTTTAGGGAGACCTCCAACATTCATGACGGCTCTGCCTTCTGTGCGGGTGAGGGAGACAGCGAGGTTAAATGTTTCTGTGTTGGATTTGGGTTTTATTTAAAAATCAGTTGCTTCATTCATTCAGTCATGATGCTGTGGAAAAGGTGCTGGCATCCGGGGGGCGTGGCACAGGGTGACCAGCCCAGGACGGAGTGGGTTCTGGGGCGTGGGACTTGCAGTTGTAAACCGGGGAGGTGCCAGGCGGGCCCCGCAGGGCCACGCCCAGACTGGGTGCGCCTGGACCCTCACGCGCCGGGGGATGCTCAGGGTCCCGTCTGCGCAGAGGAGACGGCAGCAGCCCCTACCCCTCAGGGCTGTCGTGAAGAACGACGTGCGCTCTGCACGGCGTTACGTCTGCGCCTGCAGCCCGCGGTCGGCGAGGGGACCACTTCAGTCACCACAGGGCTGCTGCGTTCCGCTCGGGGGCCTTCTCATCCCCAGCCCTGGGGCTCCCCGCTGTGGGATGGGTCCCTGAGGGGAGGACCCTCAGGAGCACCGTCCACATCGCTGCTTCCTGGCTCACGGACTCCACAGGCTCAGAGTCAGACTCCTGTGCTGTGTTCAGTGTCTGGGGTCAGCCGTGCTGCCGCTGGTCACTGGTGTCCTCTTTCTTTTCCTCGGTCAGTCTGGGCAGAAGTTTGTCAGTTTTGTTGATCTCGAAGAAGCAGCTTTTAGTTTAATTGAGTTTTTCTATTGTTTCCCTGCTTCCGAATTCACTGATTTCTGCTCTGACTTTAGCACGACCGCCTTCCTGTTCACTCTGGGTTTCATTTGCTGTTTCTTCTCCGGTTTCATGAGGTGGAAGCTGAGGTTACTGATTTTAAACCTTTTTTCTCTTCTAATATTAGTGTTTTAAGGCCATAAATTTCCCTCTAAGCACTCCTTTAGCTGCACTCTACAACTTTTACATAATGTATTTTCATTTTCATTCAGCTTGAAATATTTTTAAACTTCTTTTGAGACGTTCTCTTGGATCCATGGGTTATTTAGAAGGATCTTTTAACATTTCCACGTTTGGGGAGAGTTTTCAAACATCTTTCTGTTGCTGACTTTATTCATTCCTTTATAGTCTGAAAACATTCTGTTCTTTAAAATGTGTTGCGGCCAGAATGTGGTCCACCTGGGCGCACTTGGGGGGAGGGTGTACTCCACTGTGTTTGGGCGGCTGCTCAAGTCCTGTTCCTGTCCTCCGGACCCTGCTGCCTGCCTGCCTGTCTGCCTGCTTGTCCGCGAACCCCTGAGAGATGGCGGTGATGGCCCCACTCTCCTTCGGGTCGCCTGCTCTCCTTTCAGCTCTTAGCCACCTTGCTGTGTGCGTTTTAAGGCTGTGCTGTCAGGTTGTGGTGTCTTCCTGGAGACCCGCCCTGCCCGTTGCTGCGGGATGTCCCTTTACCCTTGACGACCTGCTTGCTCGGACGCTCTCTGGCACTAACATAGTTCACGTTTCTGTCCTGTGGCCACACACTTGGAGGCTGGAAACAGCACAGGTGTATTCCCTTGCGGCCCCGAAGCTCCAAAGCCTGGAATCAGTTTCTCAGGGCTTATGCTGAGCTGTGGACAGAGCTGTGGCGTCTCAGGAGGCTGCAGGGAGGACCCGTAGTGCGTCCCCAGGAGCCCTCCTCTTCTCCATGGGCACTGGCAGGGGTTTGGGGGTGGAGCTCGCAGCAGAGTGCCGACCCCTCCATCCCTGATCCCTGTCCTGGGGCCTTGCATCTCGGGCCATCCCAGTCTGTCCTTGAGCGAGTCCTCAGATGCCTGAGGCTCAGGTCCACCTCCCACAGGCCCGGTAGTCACTGCCCTGGGACCTCAGTCCTCTGCTGGGGCCAAGAACGGCCGTTACTTTGTCCCCCGCCCTTTGTGGGTGTGTGTTCAGGGTGGCAGGGATGCTCTGTCATCTGAGATCAAACCGCCACCACGTCCCTTGGACGTCCTCTGTCGTCGTTCCTGTGGGCACTGTGCAGGCCCTCAGAGCTGAGGAGCAAGCGGCGCAGGTGGCAGTGGTGGTGGTCCAGCCCTCGTCCGGGGCTCCTGCTCGCTCAGCTCTGGAGACGGACGTTACTGCTGCTCCTAGAGTCGCCCTCCCTGGTTCCCGTCGGTCCTCAGGCCCTGCCGCTGCGCTCAGGGGCTGACGGGCTCTGATTCCGCAGACATGGCTGTGCAGAACTTCGTGGGAGATGCCTTCCGAGGAGCCACCTGGGTTGCTCTTCACAACGGCGGGGGTGTCGGCTGGTAAGAGGGTTCTGGGGACCCGGGGGTGTGGGCGGGGCTCACGAGGAATCTTGGGGGGTCCCCCGAGGGTCCTGGGCCTGCCTCTCCAAGCTCCCTCTGCTGATGGTGTCTCTGACGTGACTGGAGCTTTGGGGTCTCGCCTGTCGGGTGGGACACCGAGGCTGCTGTGGGTGCCAGAGCACAGCCTACCCGTCGTCTCCATGACGCGCCCACAGATGTTTCCTGGGAGACCTCAGGCTGGCCCAGCCCCGAGTTCTCACTCCGCCAGGGCCGCTGGGCTGGGAGGCGGGGACCCGGTTTCTGGGCTCTGCTCTGCTGGGCCTGTCTCCAGCCTGCGCCACGAGGTGGGTTTCTGGGAGATTCTCTTCTGGGTCACAGTGCCGTCCCCTGTGGAGACATCCCTTAACTCTGCACCCAAGTCTGACGCGCGGGGTTTTCGACACCAGCTGGGTGTCCTGCAGTTCAACTCAGTTCTGACACTGTCGCCGGAGATGACACCCACGGGTGGAGGGCTCAGTCCCACAGACTGGCCCCCACCCCCACCTCCATTGCCCCCCACTTCTGACTCCAGTCGCAAGAAAGTCCACGGTGTCACCTGTGCTTCTGCCCGACTGGACCAGCCATCGCTCAGGGTTCCTGGGACCCCCTCCTCAGGGTCCACTGATTTGCTAGAGCAGCTCACAGTTTGCAGGGAACCCGTTTACTCGTGAGATTACTGACTTATCAGGGAAGATACCAAAGGACATGAATCAACAGGCAGATGAGGAGATATGTGGGGTGAGGACCCAAAGGAGCTCCTGACCTCGTGGAGTCCAGGCCCGGCCCGTGGCATTGGTCTGGTTCCCCAACCCGGAAGCCCCCCAGACCCGTACTTTGGGGGTTTGTGGGAGTTCCCTTACACGGGCACGAGTGACTGAATCGTTGGCCGACAGTGACTGACTCAGCGCCCCCGACCTCAGAAGGCCGGCTGGTCGCGTCGTGGACCCCGCTGGCGGCCAGCCCCGCCCTGCCCTCGGGTGAGTTCTGGAGGTCTCCTCCTTAGTGCAATGGAAGACGTCCGTGCCCTGCTCATCGCAGGGAGTTCCGAGGGTCTTCGGAGCTCTGGGCCAGGGACGGGACGAAGACCAAATGTTTATCTCTTACTACAAATCACAATGTCACATTCACTGCGAAGAATAATGAATAATATTTACTGCAAGTGGACCATGTGGCAAGCATTTGCTAAACTCTTTGAATCCACTCTCTCACCTAATCTCGGGCAAGAAACACATTTAGTGACAAGGAAACCGAGACACCTGGCTGTGCCTGCGGGGGTCTCCTGGGGAGCTCTGGCCACTGCGGGTTCCTAGCCCCTCGCGGCAGCAAAGGGTGCCGCGGCTTCACAGAGGACAGATCCCCAGGCTGCCGGCCATCCCTGAACCTACCTCTGAGCCCGCTTTGGCCTGATCAGGCCCGGCCTTGTCCTCCAGAGCCAAGTCCAAAGCGATGCAGCCTCCGGGAGCGCCCTGTGGGCTGACTTGCCCTCAGGCCCTTCGAGGACGAATTTGGAGCCACCCAGTCATGTGGCCCTAATTAATGGAAAACGTGACTGTGGATACACAGGCCGACAAAATCCAGACGGGGACAGTGCCTGGTTACTGGGCGCCAGGTGTCTCGGCACTGGGTTTGCTGAGTTGGTTCTGGAGGTGACAGAGTGACTCAGAAGGAGGGACCCAGCTGGGGGTGGAGCTGGATTTGGACCCAGACCCCTCGTGGCCCAGGATCCATGGCGTTGCTGATAGGACGCAGAGGGCCAGGCGGGGCGGAACCGAGCACCTGAGAGCGTGCAGGGCTGAGGACCCAGGCACATGGTCGCTGCTGGCTCTGCCCCCTGGCTCTGAGAGGGGGTGCAGCCCCCAGGCCGCCCCCAGGCTCTGACAGGCGCAGGTGGGGAGGTGCTGGCATAGGGCCCTTGTCCTGGCTGCCCTCGAGGGCTCCTTTGGGGAAGGACCCTATCAGACACGCACGTGTGTGTCTGAGCCCGTCAGACACTCCTGCAAGCCCCAAGGCGGGGTCAGTGGGAAAAGCGTCCCGTCCCGTGGCCTTTCTTCCTTCCAGCTCCAGCTGTATCTTTTGCTCTGTTGTACGGAAAAAGCACATTCTCAGATGGGAGCCGCCTGACACTTCCTGACTCGCTTTCAGCTTTGACGCTGTTGGCTGGCTCCCGTTTCCGAGCTGATCGGGGTCAGCGGCGGGCCCCTCTCTGCTCCCGGAGCTGCCCTGTCTCTGCGGAGCTCCATTCTCATCGCCTGCAGGCATCTGTCCTGTGCCGTCTGCCCGGCGGTCTCTGCTGTCTGCTCCCAGTTAGACAGGGCGCCCTTTGGACTGTGGGCTGCAGAGCGGGGGAGTCGGGGGCCAGTCTGGTCTGGGGCAGGGTGGACAGCTCCGTCAAGCTGCTGTGGTCTCTGTCCGTCCAGTTCCAGGAGCTGCGTGGGGACAGGGCCGCCTGTGGGAGCTGAGGCTTCCCCCCACTCCCTGTGTTGTCACCGTTGCTGTCACCCCCGGATCAAGCCCCAGGGCCCCGCGTGTGTGAGGAATCACTGCGTGTATCCGGCCCACGTCTTCCTCCAAACACGGACGTTCTCCCTCACTAGAGCCCATCCGGAGCTCGGATGTGTGCATTAAGATGCAGACTCCAACGGCAGGTTGGAGTAGGGGAGGTCCAGCGTCCCTGCCCGGGCCCCCCTCCGCCTGCTGGGCACTCGGGCCCCCAGGGCAGTAGCAGCTCGCACAATCAGGAGTGTGGGTTTCGAGGCAGATCTGTCTACACAGTTGCGCTGAGCTTGTTTCTCAGAAACAAGTGGTCGTGATGACACTGTGCTCTGCAGGCTCGCGGTGAAGATTCAGTGAACTAGTTATAGTCGCCAGAGCTGCCGTCGTGCACGACGTGTGGGTGGGTGTTTCCTGAGACGCTGACACGTCAGCTCACCTCTGCGCCTCCACGGTCGCATCCGAGAGGCCGCCGCACCCGGGTCCGCCGCGCACGGGGACTGGGGGAGGCCTGGCCCACCTGTGGGCGAGCCCTCCACCCGTCACTTAGGAAGGAGCCGGGATGGGTCCCCCGCTGGCACTGTCCCTGAGCTGCGCGCTCCTTCTCTGTTCATCCTAGGATTTGGTGCTTCCTTCGTTGGCACGTCTTACACTGACCCTTCCCACCTGGGAGGTGGGGTTCTGCTTCTGTGTTCTTCTCAGAGGACGGTTCGCTGTCCCGCCCATTCTGGGAGTTGCCCCTCACCTGCTGCTCAGTTGCAGTCCTCGCCCTCTTCCTGGCCTCAGGGCTCCTCCTGGCAGGGTTTGCAGGGTCACCTGGAGCTGAGCGCTTTGGCTCTCTGACCATCTGGGATTCAGGTTCCCAAAATAAACGATGTCATCCTAATCTCCAAAAGAGCCCCCTGGTCAGAGGACACGTCGGGGCCCTTACTTGGCCACTGTGGCTGCCGCCTGCTTTCCCACCTGCTACTCAGCACCAGCCCCCGACAGGTGAATGGTGACCTTAACTCTGCCGGGAGCCTCCTCCACCCCAAGGCTGCGGGACTGCTGGGAGCTCAGCTGCAGGGCCATGGGCCGGGAGTCCTTACCTCCTGGTGGGAGCTGGCTGGAGTTGTCAGTGGGGTCCGGCCGGGCAGAGAAGCAGGTGAGGCAGGACGGCCCTGAAGGGTCAGAGTTGAGGGAGACAAGGACGCTGCGGGTGTGGGACCACGGGGAGGGGCTGGGAGTGGATGCCGGGGTCCCAGGGGTTGGTGTTTGGCAGTGACGCCTGGCAGGTGCTGACCGGATCAAAGGCGTTTCCCGTGTGTGTGACCAAAGGGGGCTGGGGTCAGGGACGTGTGCTGGGCAGGGGCTGTGCCCACGTCCAGCAGGAGCCATGTCCAGCAGAAGGGTGAGGACGGATCTGGGGTGCTGGGGGGAGAGAATCCCCCCGCGGATGGACAAGAACCGCAGGGCCAGCAGTGGGGGGACCAGCGCCTGCAAGCCCAGGTGAGACACGAATGACGCCTGCTCAGACACGAGTGGCCGGGAGAGGAGGCCGTCCAAGAAATGGGTTCACTAGGAAAGAAGAAGTACTGAAAACAAAGGGACTCGGCCCCCAAGTCATCAGGACCCCAAAATACGCCTAAAGCGATCAGGAAGAGGAATGAGGCGGACAAAGAGCTCAGAGGATGGCAGGAGGGGAGCTGCCGGAGCAGGACCCCCGGGGTTCCTGGCGTCTGCGCAGGGAGAAGGTGGCCCCATCCCCCCAGGGGCAGCACGTAGCGGCCCTGAAGGTGGACGTGGGGGCCGCAGGGTGAAGCGCGAAGGCGCGGGGGCCAACGGAGCCCTCTTCCCGGATGTGCCTGCCCCTCGCAGGGTCAGGACCCGGGAGTGACCCGGAAACACTTTGCCTCTCGCAGGGGAGAGGTGATCAACGGGGGATTTGGCCTCGTGCTGGACGGGACCCTGGAGGCCGAGCAGAAGGCCAAGATGGTGCTCAGCTGGGACGTCTCCAACGGAGTGAGTGTCTCCAGGCCCCCACCCCTCTCCCCATGGCTGGCACTGCCCCTCCAGACTGTGGACCCGGGATGCCCACCCAGGAAGCAGTCTGGCATCCTCCTCCCCAGCGTCTGCCAGGGCTCCCTGCTCACCAGATGCCCCCGCTCACCTGGGCTGTTTCCAGTCCAGCCTCTGTCCGCATGGGGGTCCCGGCGGTGAGACCCTTCCCCCACCCCCACCTCCCTGTAAGATGCCATCTTCCCCCAGGCTCTGAAGGCAGGGCAGAGCGCACAGCGTCTTGAGCTGGTGCAGCTGTGATCTGCTTTCTGCAGCACAATCGTGTGTGCGGGTGTGTGTGTGCGTGCATCCGCGTGCAGGGGGTGTGTGTGCGTTCGGGTGTGTGTGTGTGCGCGCGGGTGTGTGTGTGCGTGCATCCGCGTGCAGGGGGTGTGTGTGCGTTCGGGTGTGTGCGTGTGCGCGCGGGTGTGTGTGTGTCCGCGTGCGGGGTGTGTGTGTGTGCGCGCGCGCACGTGCGGGAGGTGTGTGTGTGCGGGTGTGTGCGTGCGTGCGTGCGTGCATGCGTGTGTGTGTGTCTTGCTGGGGTTCCGTCCCTCTTGGTGACCACGTCACAGGCCGGAAGGGGGAAGTAGTGCAGACGGGACGCCAGGTGGTGACTGGGGCGGGTACGTGCAGACGTGAGTGACACGGGGCTGGGGCTTGGGGAGCCCAATGCGAGGGCCAAGGAGTTAGACGTTGGGTGGCCCAGGGGTTAAGCCTGAGAGTAGGGGCTGAAGGGTCCCCTGGGGGGCTGACTCCCAGGGAGCCCCCAGCAGAGGGGTGGTTTTTGTGTTGAAGGCAGTGTGGCAGTGAGGGAATGAGTGGGGAAGGTTTGGGGGTGCTAGCAGGAATGTAGCAGGAGGCGGGGAGGTGCCAAGGCCACTGTCCAGGGTAGCCCTGATGACGCTGGACCGGACGGAGAGAAAGAAGTGGGAGGGAGAGAGATCTGAAGGCAGAGCTGAGATCCGTGTGCTCCGAAGATGAGGACGACATAGGGGGCTCGGCCTGGAGGTGGGGGGGCTTAGCCTGGAGGTGAGGAGGCTTGGCAGAGGGAGGCCAGAGTCAGATCAGGGGCCGAGAGAGGAGGTGGGGGGCAAACACTGGCAGAGGTCCGCACCAGGCGGCGCCTGGCCATAAGGGTCCAGGCCGCCCTGTGGGAACCAGTGGTGTCCCCGCCCTGCCGGCAGGTGGCCCGCCGCTGTTGGTCCGGGAACCAGAAGGCCCACGAGACCATCTGCCGGACAATGGAGGAGATCAGGGGCCTGGTGGTGACACTGCCCCACGAGGTGGCCGATGAGCGTGTGCTCCAGCAGGCCCTGCGGCCGTGAGGGGGGCTGAGAGCCACCCATCCTCACCGACAACCACACCACACCTGCTGCTGCCCACTGCCCTGATCCGGGCCCATCACCCTCAGGGAGGGCCACCACGTCCCGTCCCCGTTTGAAGACGGATCGGCTGAGGCCAGACTGGCGGGCCCTCTGCATCACCGCGCGGCTCTGCTGGGGGCCTGGGAGGCCGTGAGGCTCTTGCTCAGGGCGGGCGCCTGGCTCCAGGTGCTCCTGCGGTGAACCCTGGCTGAGCTGGGCACCGCCTCCCTCCAAGGGGCAGGATTTCCTTCGGTCAGGTTCTCATTCAGCCGCTGCCTTTCTTCCGTGTGCCTAGGGCCTCCAGGGAACTAGGCGGAGGCTGCCCCCCACCCCTGTGCTGCTGTCCACGCGGGGTCGCCATGACCTTGTGCAGAGCGCCCTGCTGTGACCTGCCCCTCACTCTCGTTAGTTCCCAGCCTCAGCAGAGCCCCAGCCGGGCCCACATCAGGCCTAAAAATGACTCAGCCTCAACAAAGAATTGAGAAAGAGTTCAGGGGACGGGTCTCTAAGGAGCCACAGAAAACTTGACACCCCTCCCCTCCCCATCCCGTGGGGGGCTGAGTCCTCAACCATCACACTACTCGCCTCCTCCCCAGTGGCCATTCCGCCTTCTCTCGAACTAACCAAACCCCGGTGTTGTCTGGGCAGCAATGTGCACAGTAGGAAGTGGTCCTCGGTGAGACCCTGAATAAACCTGGCTCACAGCTCTTACAATGTGAAGTTTTCCCGCCAGTTGATAAGGGATGGAACAGTGCGGCTGCTCAGCGTGTCCAGCTCAGTCTTATTTTTCAAGAAAGCAGAGACTTGCAGTCCACTGAGAAATGTTTTCATCACGATTGTCAAGATAGAACCAGCTGGCCCCGACGGGTGCAGGCTTGGCGGCCTTGCAGGCCACAGGCTGTGAAGGTCTCAGAGCCTCTCCCAGGGCAGCTTCTGCTCTCTGGGAACCCGAAACTGCCCGGCCCCACAGGCTTTCCTCGCCGGCCAGCCCGGGCCAGTGCGGGGGCTCAGCGGAGCAACGAGCTCCCTGGCCTTGGGCTTTCCGAGGGGCCCCTATCCTGGGGGCCGGGGCTGGGCTTGACCTACTGGGTTGGGTTTTCTTTGGCCTGCCCTCTTTAAAAAGTTTTTGACTTTGTCACCAGTTTTTACAGAATGGGAGATTGCACTTAAAAATCCAAATTTTGAGTAATTCAAAGCAATCAGAAGATTAGGCCACACGTGCACTCCTGGCCCCTCGGGCTTGCTTTTTCCATTTGCCACAGTCCCCACCCATCTCTACTGTCCTCCAGGGCAAGGCCAGGTGTGTTTGCTGTTTATTCTTGGGCATGAGCTGCTGCTTCTTCCTCCTGCCTGCTCCTCCCTTTTGTGTGACCTGCTCGGACTTGAATCTGTGTCTGCACTGGGGTTCTCCAGAGAAGCCACAGCAGATGCATGCAAATATACATCCATGTGTTGTAATACAGGCAGGGATCTGCCTACAGATGTACATAGACACTGTGTATGTCACGCCCGCTGGAGACCCAGGAAAGCTGGTGGGGGGGGTGCGGGGGTCAACTCAGTCTGAGACGGAGGCCTGAGAACCAGGGGAGCTGGTTTAAGTCCCAGTCCAGGGCAGGAGGAGGTGAGATGCCCCAGCTCAACCAGTGAGGCAGGAAAAGGGGCAGATTCCTCCTTCCTCCACCTTGAGGGGACCTCGACTTCCTGCACGATGCCTGCCACCTACTTTGGAGAGCGCCTTCTGCCTTACGACGTACTCCCATTCACAGTCTCACCTGGAAACCCCTCACAGACACACCCAAAGGCCCAACCCATGTGACGTGTAAAATTGACCACCACGGGGACCCTTGATGGAGGGGTCTCCTTTAACTCTGTGATGTAATAATTTACAGAAAGAAATATTTGGTCTTCCTCCCTGGTTCTGGAAGAGCTCCTAAAACTGTTAGCGTTTCCTAAGTGATAAGAGAGTGATAAGAGTGTTTCCATGTAACAAGGCCCTTTTGGCCACACCTGAATTTATTTTAGTAAGGTGAATCTTGTGCCTCGCTGAGGACAGGGGCTGGTTGCCTGGGGTCGGGGTGGGGGACAACCAGCCTTGTGACCAGAAGACTGGAACTTTCAGTTTCCCCACCCTCTGACCGCCAGGGAGGAAAGAGGGGCTGGTGGTCTAATCAATCACAAATGGCCAGTGATGTATCAATCATGCCCTTATAACAAAGCTGCCATAAAAACCCAAAAGGAGAGATTCTGGGCTGGTGAACTCGGGGAGATCTGGGGGCAGTGGCACACACGCAGTGCAGATGCTCCGAGTCCTTCCCACAAGCCTTGCCCGCTGCCCTCTTCCACTGGCTGTTCTTGAGTTGCTGCTCTTTGACCCAGAAGAGGTTTCTTTTTGATTTAAAAAAATTTATCGTTGATTCGTAATATTGTTAGTTTCAGGTGTACAACTTCAGATTCTTTTCCATTACAGACTATTCCAAGTTATTGAGCACAGTTCTCTGTACCGTACAGTAAGTCCTTGTTTATCTATTTTATATATAGTGGTGTCTATCTATTAACCCCATACTCCTAATTTATCCCTCCCCTTTCCCTCTGGTAAGCGTTAAGTTTGTTTTCCCTGTCTGTGAGCCTGTTTGTTTTCTAAATAAGTTGACTTGTATTTTTTAGATTCTACACGGAGTCATATCATACTTACCTGTGCCTAACCTACTATCTTCAGTTTTTAAAGAAATCTCCATACTTGTTTTCCACAGTGGATACACCAAATCACATTCCCACCAACAGTGTAGGAGAGCTCCCTTTTCTCCACACCCTCTCCAGGATCGTTGCTTGTAGACTTACTGAGGATGGCCATTCTGACCAGTGTGAGGTGATACCTCACTGCGGTTCTGACTCGCATTTCTCTAATGCATGCAAGTCAAAACTGCAATGAGCATCTTTTCACGTGTCTATTGGCCATCCGGATGTCTCTGGAGAAATGTCTGTTTCTGCCCGTGTTTTGACTGGGTTATTTGTTTTTTTATTTAGCCGTATAAGCTGTCGGTATCTTTTGGAAATTAAGCCCTTATCATTCACATGGTTTACAACTGTTTTCTCCCAGTCCGTAGGTTGTCTTTTTGCGTTGTTTATAGTCTCCTTTGCTGTGCAAAAGCTTGTAAGTTTGGTTAGGTCCCGTTTATTTTCTTTCTCTTCCCCGGCCGACCCCAGTTTTTATCTCGATGAAGCCCAGGGTGTTTCTCACACTGGCTGTGCTGCTGGTTCGGCAGCTAAGAAGCCAGTCCCCAACCCAAGATCACACCGATTTACAGTCTAGACCTAACGGTCTTCCCGTAGTAGCTTCACAGCGATGGCTCTGCATCCAGGCCCTCACCCATTTTGAGCTCCTTTTTGTGTCTGGTGCGAGGCGGAGGTCCAAATCCGTTCTGCTGCATGTGGATTCCAGTTGTCCCGGTACTGTCTGGTGAACAGATTTTTTTCCTTCGTCGAATGGTCTGGAGCGGAGTATTTTTGGCTTAAATGCATACACGCACAAAGATGTTTCCTGTTTTCTCGGACGTTACTGATGGACCTTGTTCTAAAGTACGTTTAAGAGTAGAGCGCGCCTCCGTCAGCTCAGGGGCCGGTTACCGAGTCTCCGCCGCTGGCCTCCGGGCGTGGGCTGGGAGCGAGGCAGGGCCGCCGTCCTCACGGGGCCTTCTCCAGGGAGGCGCACAGCCCGGACCACCGCGAAGGGCCGAGCAGCCGCTGC